CTTCTACTTTACTTACATGAGAGATATTTATTGATACATCATATTTTTTTATGCCGGTCTGCTCGATCTTTGGCTAAGAAGAACTAATACGTAAATTGTTTTAGATCTTAAGAAGTAGCGAAGTTTTACCAAGGTAAGAATGGCCAGGTAGGTGGCGAATACGTTCTGAATAGTTCGCAGGTGCACATGTCCTCTGTAGCTGATGACAAGCAGGTGTCCTCATTAAGATTATCAAGACACTTGCACTGCATAGACATACGTGGATACTGTGATTTCTATTTAGTATGGATTTTAATGTGTTGCATTTATTTCGATGCATTATTTATCATTTGCTCTGATGATATGCGTTGTACCGGTGAGAATGGAATGGTTTTCACCTTCGAAATGGAAAAAAATGTGCAGTTGTCGCTTCACTGCACCATTCATTCTCTTTGTGTCGATCCTTTCATTCGTTCATTCATTCACTGAAAAGCTCATTTACACGGCCTGCCATTCGTTGCTATTCCAGGCAACATTGAGGCACCTGCCAGTAATTGTGTATTGGGAATACATACGAAACTTGTATTTGGTTATGGCTTTCAATTCCGTTGAGGTAGTCCCATCTGATGCAACCTAAGATGACTTGCAAATGAGCGCTTTTTAGGCAATTTTAAATGATTAGTCAGCTCACTTGTAAATCCTGTTTCGGCATATCGAGCGATTTGGCTTTAAGACTCTGAGTAGCAAGAGGACAGGAATTTCACGTAATGACAGCATTTTAACCCTTGTCGGACTGTACAGTTACAAATGTACCCGCTCTAGTTACGATTGTAACGTGACAAAATTGTACAGTCTGATCAGGTTTTGGATTTTTAGGTATGACATGAACTTTAGTTGTAAGCGCTTTGAGTCTGCGTAGTTGAATGAATTTCGGAAATTTACCCGCCCGCAGCAGTTTAATTGGACATGTGATCTACGTTTGTCTCGTCATTAATTCGTTAATGGAGGTAATGTCATGACAATTTGAATTTTGAACGTTATTCCGTTCATAAAGAGAGAATCCAAAAGACTTTGGAAATATTTGGAATAGATGTTTTTTAATTACTAAGTCAACTTTCATAGCTAATAACTTACAAATTCTCGATTTTCAAAGAAAATTTTGGCTGTGCAGAGTGTAGACATTCTGTTATCGATCGTTATGCACGCGACAGCGTTGAAGCGGTTCCAGTTTTAAACTAATAGTATGATAATTCTGAAACGTGCAATCCTGCACGTTTCTCCTTTACCCGTATAATATCATTGCCGTCCCGAAGACCTTGGCTGAACATCGGTACTCAATTTTTGTCTAAGCGTTTATTATGCCGGCCAGATATGAAGTAAACATGTTGTACACGTACGACGTATTAAGTTTCTTGCTTCTTACCGCTCTTCAAAACATAGCCTTAAGCAAGTCAATGTTTAGACGAATGAAATTCAAATGGATTTGCTTTTGTTGCCTTCGGGGCAACTAAACAAAATTTAAAAATCCGAATTAAAGGTTTTCACGAAGAAATTAAAGACTTTCTGATTTAGGCCTTGTAGAATCATTGATCGTACAAATCAATTAATTTTATTGACATTAGCTTGTTAACTGATCAATTGTCATGTAACTGAATTACTTGACAGTAATTAGGTCAAGATTTTCGATGTTATTAAATAACTAAACTTGCGTAGTCATTGTTTGCTCGAGATAGCAAGTTTAACTGATGAATATCGTGTGATCATGTGGATTTAAGATAACTTAAAAAAATAGTGTGTAATGCAGCTTTTCCGATACATTAAGAACTACTAGTCATCGTGTTATCTTTTAAATGAAATTTTAAATTGATGCAAATTGACGCATAATCTGACTGCGTATCTGTTACTGGCTGCGACGTGGCATTGCTTTGTTTATAAATACTTGTTTATGTATCTATTTACACGTGATTGATGGCTTTATCTTCTACATTCCGTGTGCTGCATCATCCTGTGTTATCAGATAAGGGTTTTGATCATAATTGTAACCCTGAGAAGTGAATTTACTTATGATGATACAATAAAGCACGAATTATTCGAGGACGCCGGCTTAGCCTCAATGCAGCAAAGAACCACATTTAGTAATACGATACAGAACCACTTAAGTCGAATATTTGTTTGCTGTAACGGTTTGTACTTGTATCGAATCGCTGTGATAGTGTGCGCGGGACCGAATCTATTTTGGGAACAGGCCTCTTTTTGTTGGGTGTGCTGCGTTCAACCATTCATAAATTGTCTCGACGTAAACATTGAAGAGGGAGTTCGTGTTCGAATTGCAGACCGGTTAAGACGTGCAGTGACTCGAGTGTAGACTTGGGCCGCTTGACGCGGGACTTCTATCCGCTTCTTTACCTTCATTTAGTCTCTCTATCTCGGCATTGCGGCTGCAAATGAGATTATCAATCGTGGGTTTGGATTGAGAAATGGACAGTATATTATGGACTGTTGGATTTTTAGAGGCAAATATTTGTTACTTCGACTCTTTAAGACTTGAACACTTTTAAAGCAGGAGTATGATTTCTTCTTTACTTACGTTCATGGTTCGTGGGTTTTTGTTTTCTGGCAAAATGCGGCGAAACTTTACTTGATTTAATCGAGGCATCGCATACAGTTACATGAATAGTCGCCAATGATATTTTAATCTAAAGGCTATTTTCATCTAAATTAGTCATCTCTGGTACATTTGGATTAAGAAAATATTTTCAATAAGCTAAATGCGCTGAAAATCCACACAGTTTTGAATTCTAACCTAGAATGAGTTGTAGTTTAGTTTAGGTTCTGTCCATTATTTTAAAAACTTGATTCGCATCTGTGGTTGCGCATGAGGAAATGCGTGAGTACCGTACCACGTTTTCCATAACCAGCCACTTGATTATCTGACTTTTCGAACAACAAAGTATAACCCCCAGTGAAAATTTACAGACGCGGCAGCTTCTGATTTGGACTACCGGAAGCTGGGGCGACTCTAAATTTTGTTGGGGACGTTGATAAGCGCGAAAAAATTAGTCGTGGACACAGCCTGAACCGGCTGTCGAGAAATAGATATCCCATAAATCAAACATTGAAAAAAACGAGAATATGCGCGCAAAGCGACTGCACCAGCTTGCCCTACGTTAGAAATGTAGAGCGTTATAAAGGAGAGGAAATGGTTAAGGATTGCATCCTTGTGGCCGTGACGCTTGCGCTCGAGTGGTATAGTAACGATAGTGCCCCTCTGGTAGGCGTCTGAGATGGCCTTGCCATGGAGTTGTGTGGAGTTTGTCTAAGCAACCGAATCTATTTTGGGAACAGGCCTCTTTTTGTTGGGTGTGCTGCGTTCAACCATTCATAAATTGTCTCGACGTAAACATTGAAGAGGCAGTTCTAAATTGCAGACCGGTTTAGACGTGCAGTGACTTGATTGTTGACTGGGACCACTTGATGCGGGACTTCTAGCCGCTTCTTTTACCTTCATATATAGTCTCTTTCGGCATAGCGGCAGCAAATGCGATGGTCAATCGTTGATTCTGACTTTTCGAACAACAAAGTATAACGTTGATACGCGCGAGAAAATTAGTCTTGTCACAGTCGTGAATCGGCTGCCGAGAAATAGTTATCCCATAAATCCAACATAAAAAAAAACGAGAACGTGCGCGCAACGTGACTACTACTCGCCTATATGATAAAGCCCCCCCTGGTAGGCGTGCTGAGATGGCCTTGCCATGGAGTTGTGTGGAGTTTGTCTAAGCACGAACTTGTTCTGTACTCCCTGCACTGATGTTTGTCTCGTCTGGGAGCCGCCAACCCATGGTCACTTGAGTGTGAACCTTGAGGAGCTCTTGAATCTACCGCCAAGTGCGCAATTGCAACGCACAAGGTTGAATTCACGCTCATGAGCATTCTTGACTCGAGTTGAATTGTCTTAACTGTATGTTGATGCGAACAAAATATAGATGTAGAGAGTCCTTGCCATATAAATAAAATAGCAATTGGTAACTGAAAATAGGAATTGATAATTGAATACGTGATGTTCATATTCTGCATTTATTTGACATTCAAGTGCTCAAAAAGGCTTGAGTCATTGCGCAAATCGCGCCTCAAAATTTGGTTAATATAACCAACGTCATTCTGTTTCCTTAGTCAACATTTCTCTGCCTTCAAATCGAAAAATATGGCTCCTTGCTTGCCTTAAATATCCTCGAAAAATATGGCTCTTGCTTGCCTATATTCTCAAGCCTTACTTCTTTAGATATATTAATTTTATTGTTCTTGGTAATGTCACTGTAGATTAATAATCAGTAACTAATTTTCACAGTGTCAGAATACACAGCTTGGGTGTGAGTCTCTTTGGTGACGCAATTGCATTTAATTAAATTGGTTCCTTTATATCACCTCAATATGATAGGAGAATTATTGACGTGAAGAAAATCTTACGAATCGTACAAATTTGTAGATGTGTCTAGACATCTAACAAGAAACCTGGCTTTTGTTATCCCCTAATCTTGGCTTTAATGTGCTTGTTGCGCGATGTAACTTTACTCAAGGTTACATACAAGTGACCTTGCGTAGCTCAATGTAGTACAAGCTATGTATCGACAATGGAAAATATTGGACATACTAAGTGAGTTTATTCACGATGAACAATTTGTACAGCACCAAAGATAATAATTATATTAATTTCTGCACAATTTTGTCATAATTTAGGGTACTTTTTGCGAACCATACTCTTCAAAGCTTAGCGGCAAATTCTCTGCCAAATAGCATCAACATTCTATTAGAGGTTTAGCATCGCCGTTCTATATTTTTGTCCATTTGGCTTCATATCGGTAAAATTATTTTGGCGTCTCGTAGATTTTGTTTCACTTTCATCAATAATTGATTTTCAATTTATTCTAATTATTAACTTCTGAATTTTCTCAGTTCTCTATTACTTAATATTGTTCACGATTTTCTCATCTAATAAAGACCACTTGTTTTTTCTCTTGCAGAAGGCCACGAATGTGACGTTCCAGAGCGGCCACGTCACCCGCAACAAGCGTGGCCAAGTGATGGGCAAGAGAGGAGGCTTCCGAGGCTGCACCGTCTGGTTCACTGGTCTCTCAGGAGCCGGTGAGTTGACATCCGATGATTTACGTGTTGAACTGGTCTCTCAGGAGCTTGTGAGTTGATGTCCAATGATTGAAGTGTTGAACTGGTCTCTCAGGAGCCGGTGAGTTGATGTCCAATGATTGACATGTTCAACTGGTCTCTCAGGAGCCGGTGAGTTGATGTCCGATGACTGACATGTTCAACTGGTCTCTCAGGAGCCGGTGAGTTGATGCCCGATGATTGACATGTTCAACTGGTCTCTCAGGAGCCGGTGAGTTGATGTCCGATGATTGACATGTTCAACTGGTCTCTCAGGAGCCGGTGAGTTGATGTCCAATGGTTGACGTGTTCAACTGGTCTCTCAGGAGCCGGTGAGTTGATGTCCAATGATTATTTTTGCTTGTATTACAGGCAAGACGACGTTGAGTTTTGCGCTGGAAGAGTACCTCGTAGGTCGCGGCATCCCAGCGTACGGGCTGGACGGCGACAACATGCGTACGGGGCTGAACAAGAACCTCGGCTTCAGCGACGACGACCGTGAGGAGAACATCCGACGTGTGGCGGAGGTCGCTAAACTTTTTGCCGATTCCGGGGTAGTGTCGCTCTGCTCCTTCGTGTCACCCTTCGCTAAGGCGAGTGTAAAATAGTATTTAATGAAAATTAATGAAAGTAAAATGGGATTTTTTTATGAAGTGTACTAGTGTGTAATGGTTTGATCTACCCCTTACGGAGAATTTACACGTTTTATCAATATACTGAACCTTTGCCTCGGTTTATAATTCAACTTTAAAAATGCTACGAAGCGTGCCTGACGAAGCGGCAAATGTTACAGGATCGTCAGGTAGCACGCGAGCTGCACCAGGCCGTCGGTCTGCCGTTCTTTGAGGTGTTCGTGGACACGCCTCTAGAGGTGTGCGAGCAGCGTGATGTTAAAGGCCTCTACAAGAAGGCCAGGGCTGGACTTATTAAAGGTTCGTGGTATTTGTTAACGTAATATTGTTTTTAATGATAAATAGAATTGTTCGTACACAGCGTGAAAAGAGTTTTGTGAATGCATATCACTATCACCTGATGAGAACCACTCAAAAATATAAATTTTGCCTACTTCGTCGAAGTCTTTCGTAACAATCTCAAATCGAGTCTCGATAAAATTTCGGTGGCGCTCGCCATGTGTTCTTTTAAGGACTTACAGAGATTTAAATACTCGTTTGCATAGATTTAATTTGTATGATTGCAGGGAATGCGGACAATTGTATTGAATTATTTACCTACTGGTGAAATAAAAAGTATTTTGAGCCCTTTTTTGAATTGATTATGAGAAAGAAATTCATGCTTCTTGTTAAGAAACCAGTACGTAAACGTTTTTACTTCATCTCTTTATTTTTTTTTCAATTGAGCAATTAAACTCCTGCCAATACCTATAAAATCCAGGATTTTCGAATATCGTGTCTTAACTTCATAATAAACTTGAAATATTTGAGTACTCTACGCGAGAGACGTTCCAGATGATTTGTAGCATTACAGTGGATATTTCCCGGACATTTATCATGGATATAAGTGAAATGCATGTGTTTTCTTAACGTTATCTTGACGTACTATCGCTCGCATTTTGTACAAGGTTGTAACACGATTTTATGGTCGTATCATGCCAAGATCATGTGAATCCCTGCCTGCTCCCGTGTTCTGTTGGTGATAGGCACATGTCATAAGGAGTTTAGCCGAGTCATCTTTATTATCTTTTATCGTTATCAGCGTCCTTGAGGCTGTTACTCTCATGCTCCCACATGACGCCAAAATCGATGCACTTCTAACGGTATAGATAACTATCTCCCTATACGCGATAAGTTAATTCACACTGCGCGTAATTCCCACACGCATAACTTGGGCATATAAATTCTTATGATAATGCGCACTACAGTAATTACGTGCTAAAAGAAATAATCGATGGAAGGCTCTGGATGGAATACTTATGAACTTGGTCAATGCCACGTTATTAAGCATCCTGGTTCTGTGTCGTAATTTATGACTGCGCCTAATGGACATGATTATGAACTTCCCAATCTCAATAGGCCTGTAATTCCGGAACTTAGAAGATGAATAACAATAATAAGGATAATGAGTGAATGTTAAGTTGAATCCGCTTGGATGATGACTTAATGTTTTTATGTATTCAGGCTTCACCGGTATTGATGGCCGCTACGAAAAGCCCGAGAACCCGACCATTACGGTGAAGACCGCCAACTCTGCAGTCGGGGACTGCGTGCAGCAGGTCGTCTCCGTACTGCAGGAACACGTAAGAAGTCTCATAATTAATTTTTGAGAAATATTCATATGAAGATAAATCAGTTATTCTGGTACTAGTTTGGTTATTCTGGTACTAGTTTGAGCTTCAATTAAAATTGAAATATCCAGGCAAAAATATAAATTTGGAGTACAAGTCTAGTAGATCATAATGTCGAACATTTTAGTTTGATTTGCTTCCAATTGGCTGTAATTTTATGGACGTGTGAGACGGTTTTGCTGTGCCTGTTCCTGACTTCTGATTCAAGACACGTCGTAAATTATATTCGATCTAACAATCGCGTAATATCGTCGCCTTCAACTAATTTGCATTGAATCATCCTGATTCAGGAAAACTCGCTCAAAACTACATTTGTCACAATATCTGGTGTTCGTTGTTTGCACTCAGAATTTCGCAAAAACGTTCATTCACATTCATAGCAAAAATTCATTCAGTCATTCACTGTCTTTGATCAGAGGCTCTAATTTGCCGTTAAATTAGTGTTGTGGGCTCAGGATTTCGCGGCTTGATGCTTCAAGCTATATAGTACCCTATGTACCTTGATTTCGTAGTGTTTGATATCTCGTGGTCTTATCATTTTTGTCCCACATTAAGGAGGAAAATCTCGGTTTCTCTCTTAGCGTGCTAGATACTATGATTGTTTTATCTTACTGCCGTTACTTATAGTATTAAAAGTAAAGAAATGAGGCTAAGAACTTATGATGTCACCGAATTACAATGTGGTGTTGTATAGTATATATAAGTGTTTTCTCGGACACTGTTTGCCATCTATATTTTGATAAATATTGTTTGAAATATGTGGGAGTATATGTCGGGACTAATTAAAGTTGGAGTATTATTTCATGCATATATCATTTTTCACTCCATTATAGCTGCATTGACGATATCATTAGAACTCGTTGAGAAACCTCATCTGAATTGCTTCTCTTCCATCCCAAATGCTGCATTACAGGGCATCGTGCCTTATTGCCTCGTTCGGGAGCCGGTAAGTGTTTGGTCGTTGATTACTATTATTAGTGTTACGAACTTGCCGTCCTTAACCCTCTACCGCCGTAAGTCACTCTCCGGGAACATAACTTTCAACTTAAATTATACTACGTAAACTATTGAGTTTAGCAACCTGAGGACGTTTTTACGCGACAGAACATTTTAAAATTGTCGTACGTGGCGGCAACCATCAGTGCTAGTCATTTTGCTTTCACTAGAACGTATCCTTTTTGGGAAGTAGGCTTGTGACAATATTGCTTCGGTTACTCTTTTTAGGCGGTAGAGGGTTAACAGTTCCTCATTTCCTCCTCTTAGTATACGGTTGTCTAAAGGCGGTGGCTCTCAAACTGGGGGACACGAGTCCCTGGGGAATTTCAAATTATATTACCTATATTATTTTTCATTTTTTGGGTGTAATTGTAATGACTGTTCACTCGGCCATTTTTCAAATGTTAAAATATTGATGTTACGTAAATAAGAGCCTGTTGCAGCATTTTATTTTGAGGAACAAGGTGAAAAGTTCGAGAACCACTGCTTCATGTAGTTTGATCTGCATTTCTTTTCCTGTTAGCGCGTTCCTGGTGTTGCTACGTAGATGCTTATCCGTTTGCATGCTAATTTATTTCTTTGGTTTCAAGTTCTTCATTATTCGTTGAATTCTTGTTCACACTGATGTTGTGTGAACAAGAATTGTTTGTTGTGTGAACCCACACTTGTTACTTTTTTCTGTAGTGTCGTGCGTTGGTGCTTTGTGCATTTGTAAGTGTCGTGCGTTGGTGTTTCGGAACGTCTAGAATCTAGATGATGCTTACTTATTATTTTTTAATATTTCTTAATAATTAGTACACAGGTCAGGTGGGTTTTGGCTCGTCGTCTTACTAACATTGGTGAATTCAAAACGCGTTTGAATCGCGAGTTATTTGTTCTACTTGTATCCATGAGGTTAATATTATACTCATGAAATTTAAACTTAAACTTAAGCTTTTGTGTTGCTACCCTAACAAAATTTAGAGGAATTTGCTACTATGCATTAGGGCCGCTTAGGACTCGGGGAGCACGTTAATCAGCACCTCTACGTCCGCTTCGGCACAAAGTTTGAAGGGCAACCTCTAGGCAGTTAATTTCTAGTTCGGTATAACTCGGCTCGACCAACCCTTGTCATACTCTCAGGCGACTGTAAAGTCGGAAAGGAGATTCTGACTAGAAACTCATTTCGATCGGTTGGCCAAGTAGACCCAGAATAACTTGGCCCCGAGTGTAGTGACTATTTCTTCCGAAGCCGAGGCGGTCCCCGGATTTTGTTAGGGTATTAGTTTTATACGTGTTCAATTAAAACGGGAGATGTCCTGCAATTATTCATAGAGAAACCAACTCTTAACTGTACAAGGTTTATGTAAATGCAGAGTTTGTATAGCCTAAGCTGTTTGAGGAGCTATATTTGTATCATCCATATATGAAGATTCACTTGCTACATTCGATAGTATTTTACTGATGAACCTGTTGGTGTAAATTTTGATCGTACTGCAATCAATACAATCAGGTTCCAACTTTAGTCACATTCTTAAAACGGGATAAGTAATTTTTTCTTGACAGTTGTGTATTGATATACTTTTCAATTCATGAAGAGGCGCGCGGAAAGTCCGTCAGAAATATTCACTAATTAAAGAAATAGATGCCGAGTACTGCTGTGAATATTTTTGAGATTTTATTGTGTAGATTTCACTAATGGACCCTGGGTACTGATGTGAATATTTTTGAGATTTTATAGTGTATATTTCACAAATGGACCCAGGGTACTGATGTACTGATGTGAATATTTTTTAGATATTTTATTGTGTATATTTCACAAATGGACCCAGGGGATCGTGTCGTACGCTACCCTGGACCAAGTGCGAGAGTTGGCCGTGCCTGAGAACGAAGTGGCAGCAGTGCTGGCGCGCACCAAAGACATGCCATCTGTTGAGATCTCTGAGCTCGACCTGCAGTGGCTCCAGGTGACTTAGCCTTCCTACTTTATTTCCTATCAGAGAAGGAATATTTCATCTGAATAATATAAATATTCCTACTTTATTTTATATGAGAGAAAAAAGATTTAATTTGAATATTATAAATAATATTTTGAATGATGTATAATAATGTTGTATTGTAATAGTACCAAATTAACTTGAGAGAATTAATGAAATTTGATTGTAGATATTGTTCTAATTAGGTGAAGTCCGGATTGGATTTAATTAAATAATAATTAAATAATCCGGTGAAATCCGGATTGATGGACGAATTAATGAAATTTGAATAGATGTTGTTCTAATTAGGTAAAATCCGGATTGATGGTTATTAGGAGGAAATCTTGCTTGAGATCACTGTGGCTTTAGGGGGCATCATTTTCATGCCTGCACTGAGGCTTGGTTGAAATGTAAAAATGTACAATTTCATTATATTTCCTGGTTTTAGGTTCTTTCAGAAGGTTGGGCTACGCCTCTATCTGGTTTCATGACTGAAAAGGAGTATCTGCAGGTAAAGTGTCCTATTTGATTTATTCATCAACCAGTTTCATGCTATTTATTAAGAGAATTCCTTGCTGTGCAAAACTATAAACTTGAAAGCCCTTTTAGTGTCGCATGATCCGTCAAGGAAGTTAGCGAAGTTGAAAGTTTGCGTAACAATATACGTACATAAATAATATTTTTACATGAGATTTTTTGTTTTGTTCCGGAACAACGAGGCTGACTGTTAAATTGCGTAATCTATGTTGAATAAGCTTCAATATATTACCGTTACTTTTTTATGCATCTTTTGTGCTACATACATACTTTTTATGCATCTTTTTTTTACATACTTCACGTATTCAAAGTTGCAAAAAAATTCAATATATTTTCATTTTGTTTTGGTGCATCTTTTATTTTGAAACGTAAAGACTGTTGGTTACTTCACGTTTTTAATCTCAATAATTTTGAACAAATTGATTAATTTTTGTGTGTAAATAATTAAATAATCCGGTGAAATCCGGATTGATGGACGGATTAATGAAATTTGAATATAGATGTTGTTCTAATTAGGTGAAATCCGGACTGATGGTTATTAGGAGGAAATATAGCTTGAGATCACTGTGGCTTTAGGGGGCATCATTTTCATGCCTGCACTGAGGCTTGGTTGAAATGTAAAAATGTACAATTTCATTATATTTCCTGGTTTTAGGTTCTTTCAGAAGGTTGGGCTACGCCTCTATCTGGTTTCATGACTGAAAAGGAGTATCTGCAGGTAAAGTGTCCTATTTGATTTATTCATCAACCAGTTTCATGCTATTTATTAAGAGAATTCCTTGCTGTGCAAAACTATAAACTTGAAAGACCTTTTATTGTCGCATGATCCGTCTAGGAAGTTAGCGAAGTTGAAAGTTGGCATAAAAATATACATAAATAATATTTTTCCATAAGATTTTTTGTTTTGTTCCGGAACAACGAGGCTGGCTGTTAAACTGCGTAATCTATGTTGAATAAGCTTCAATATATTACCGTTACTTTTTTATGCATCTTTTGTGCTACATACATACTTTTTATGCATCTTTTTTTTACATACTTCACGTATTCAAAGTTGCAAAAAAATTCAATATATTTTCATTTTGTTTTGGTGCATCTTTTATTTTGAAACGTAAAGACTGTTGGTTACTTCACGTTTTTAATCTCAATAATTTTGAACAAATTGATTAATTTTTGTGTGTATGTACAGTTGGTGGTTACTTTATTAAGCTCAATTATTTCGAATATATTAATTTTTGTGTGTATGTACAGTTGGTGGTTACTTTATTAAGCTCAATTATTTCGAATATATTAATTTTTGTGTGTATGTGCAGTGTCAGCACTTCGGTGCCCTGTACGACGACGGGGTGGTGAACCAGTCCATCCCCATCGTGCTGCCCGTCTCCTCGGCCGACAAGGAGCGAGTCGCGGGCTGCGAAGAGCTCTGCCTGCGCTACCAGGGCAGACCTGTGGGCATCATCAAGCATCCTGAGTTCTACAATCATAACAAGGAGGAGAGATGCGCACGCCAGTTTGGTGAGCATTTTATCTGTTATGTTGTTGCAATATCTGTGTTATTTTATCGTGTTATCGCTGTCACAATAAAAAGGGAAGGAGGCATCCGGCAGTTTGGCGAGCTTCTGGTCCATTTGAAAAATGATTTGGCGCATGGAAATAAATTCACGAAGCGGCTGTGACGATTTTTTTTAAGATGCGAATTTTTTGGCTATATGTATACATGATAATGCGTGAATGAATATTGTTGAAGACTTGACAATGAGAAGAAATGTACTCCCAAAATCTCATTTTCAATAGACTTCAACAAATTACGCTTATTAAAATAAGAGTTTCTTAGACAGACTGCAATTTGTGAACCATTATTTTCGTTCTTTCAATATGATATTTTTGATATATTAAATCCTACATGTGTCTTCATTGTGGTACAATTTTGTGTTCATTCTTTAAAGGAACGATCACCCTTAATCATCCGTACATCAAGATGATCTACGAGAGCGGAGACTGGCTCTGTGGTGGACCAACACTTGGTCTGGAGAGAATCCGGTGAGTTGCTGTCTTGTGCAGTACGGCGCCCCTCTTTTAACGAGGGGGTCCTGTTTTGTGATGCATATTAAGTAGTTCAATTTACAATTTAATTATCACCGGTGAGTTATTTTCTTGCGAAGTACGGCGTCACTCTTTTAACGACAGGGTCCTGTTTTGTGATGCATATTAAGTAGTTAAATTTACATTGGAATCATCACCGATGAGTTGTTTTCTTGCAAGGTACGGCGTCACTCTTTTAACGACAAGGTCCTGTTATGTGATGAATAGGTATTAAGTAGTTCAATTTACAATTTAATTATAACCAAGGAGTTATTTTCTTACGAAGTACGGCGTCACTCTTTTAATGCTAAGTGTCCTGTTCTGTGATGAATCAAAACTATTTTAATGTATGTTAGGATGAACACGGGCAAACTCGAAATTCCGAAGTTCGTTTGTATATGAATTCAACTTCAAGCTGATGCTCACATATCAGTTAATGTTTACCATCAAATCCCGCAGTGCGTAGTAAGCATCGCTCATAGATGGATCGCGCATAAGTTTATTATTTTGATTCTTTGATTTATTCTTTGTCGACTTCTCAATGATATAGTGCGATTTAGAGCATTTACTGTGAAGTAGATATCGTATCTCGGATTTGGGCGAAATTCTCAGTGAAGTTTCCTGAGCAATTTCGTCCCACAGGGTAAATTTTTTCTTAAACCATAATGAAAATTCTGCCATTGTATTTTTTTTATTCATTTCGTACAACTGACATTGCTTGCAGGTGGAACGATGGCCTAGACCAGTATCGCCTGACGCCCGTAGAGCTGCGCGCTAAGTTCAGGGAGATGGGCGCTGACGCAGTCTTCGCCTTCCAGCTGCGCAATCCTGTGCACAACGGCCACGCTCTCCTCATGCAGGTTGGTGCCTAACAGTAGAATATTAAAGGTTTTAAGATTAATTGCTAGCAGAGCAGTCTGGCGATCAAAATCGTTTTCAGTAGCAAGATGATAATCGACTAATAAGTAATAAGTATTCTGATGAAAAGGTTAGGAAAAAGTTCCAGTGCCTAATAAAAATGGCGTTATTCAGTATTAGTCGTGGACATATTGCTAGATTACATCTTGTATCTTCCGATAACATTAGAGTAAACATCAATAACTGCATAAAATCACTTCTTTATTCTAGAACATTATAGTAAACATCAATAACTGCATCAAATCACTTCTTTATTCATTCTAGAACAATCATTCTATCATTTATTCTGAATTCTAAATCATTTATTCTAGAACACAAGAGAGCGGCTGATCAGTGAAGGCCACAAGAAGCCCGTGCTGCTGCTGCACCCTCTGGGGGGTTGGACCAAGGATGACGACGTGCCTCTGGACACCAGGATGAAGCAGCACCACGCTGGTAATGTTCCACTCGCATGAAGTGCGCTTGATTATAAACTAAATGTATTTTAAACACTAGGCATTGACCCTGCCTGTGTTAATAGCCTAAGTGAATATTTTGGCGCAAAATTCGAAACTGCATGCTCTAGCCTTTTGCTGAGCAATCCAATATGAATAGAGAACATATGATAACTTCAAATGTTACAACTTTATTCTAGAATTATGGAGTGATATTTTTTTGTCCTTGGATGGTTAAAGTTATTGAAACCTTGCAAACATTTTGGAAAGCTGGGCAGAATTTTTAACCTCCCAGCTATAATTCCTGATGATATTATGATGTTTGCCTACCTGTGTCTCAAAGTTCGTTTTTAGATTCACCTCGGCAGTCGTCATTGCTATTAGTGTCAGAAAGCTTGATATCTATAGTTACAATTTGTAGATATAGTTAATAGATCCATTCGACGATTGTATTCCATTACTAAATGTGATTTTGTGCATCCAGTTCTCGAGGAGGGAATTTTGGACCCAGAGACCACAGTGCTTGCGATCTTCCCTTCGCCGATGATGTACGCTGGTCCCACCGAAGTGCAGTGGCACGCTAAGGCGCGCATGTCAGCGGGCGCCAACTTCTACATCGTTGGTCGTGATCCCGCCGGCATGCCCAATCCTGACACAGGCAAGGATCTCTATGATCCTACACACGGGCGTCGTGTGCTGGCCATGGCTCCTGGGCTCGCTCAGCTGGAGATTGTGCCCTTCCAGGTACTGAAATTGATTTATCTGAGTGACTGCATTACTTTTACAGATTTATTATGCAGTCTTTTTTACTATTCTATCAGCACACTAGCTCATCTTGTATTTTTTGATTGAATTTCGGTCTTCTCGGTCTCCTAATTACATAAAACTCAAGTTTCTTGATTTGCTCCTTCCTCCTATTATAAACAAAACTGGAGGATATTTTCACTTAGTAGATGTCCCAGCCATAGCTCCGCATCAACTAAAAATGAGCTTGGTTGACGTTTTCTATCTTTTCCAGGTTGCTGCTTACGACAAAACAGTCAACAAGATGGCACTCTTCGATCCATCAAGAAAGGACGATTTCCTCTTCATTTCTGGCACAAAGATGCGTTCGCTCGCCAGATCAGGCGAAGATCCTCCTGAGGGCTTCATGGGCAAGAAGGCGTGGCAGGTGCTCTGCTCCTACTACCAGTCACTCAAGCAGTAGCGCGCAACTGCAAAGATGCCGGACAACAGAGGAAACAACTAGCATTTTTAGAAAGGACTTTACCTGCTCAAGGCAGGTTTTAAAATTTCAGCGCAATTCCTGCTAGCCAGATCTGTGTTCCCGTGTCCGAATTAAAGTTACGTTTTAAAATCATCTGACTGCAGTAGCAAGAAGACTGCTAACATTATTGAATTAGATCTTTTCTGCATCATGCATTTTTTAATAATTAGAAGTGCAACTATCGAAAAGTAATGATGTTGCATATTTTTAATGATTGCGTATAAGAACTTTTAAAAGCAATTGGTAGTTTGAAAACGGTAAATTTCGTTAGCCCGCTTATTCTTTCAACTGTACTTCCCTGCTGCGATCGCTTAATTTAGTTGAGCAATTTTTACTCCTTCCAACTCATTGACAAAGTTCTGATTGAAAGCCCGAATTTAGCTTCCAACTCTCGAAAAAATCAAGTGTTTGCATTATATCTCACTTTGGATGGAAGTTACTAGGGTTATCATTCGAACTGCAATTTCTAAGTTATTCCTTCCATTAACAATTTTCAAAAGTGAAAAGATTTGATGCAAGTTTTTAATTTCCTTGTCTCTTATTGTGCTGATTATTGAGCTGCTGTGCTTGGGATATAATTCTAATTAGCATATAGTCGAATGATTTTAAATTGTGATCTGTTGATAGATTATTTGTAGAACAAATTATATGCGCCACGAAAGTTATTGTTGTGGACCTCCAGCAATTTGATTGAACTGCGTTTTGGCCAGAGCTTTTTATTAGCTTGCTAGCTACAAGGCTCTACAACTTAACCCTCCACTTTTCCTTTTATTCTACTTAATGGGGAATTTCTCATCATTGGCTTTGAGTGAAACAGGGCAGAGGCTCTCAGACCTCGGGGTGCAATTATTATTCAATAAATTATATAAGTATAAATAATTGATAAGCTTTGTTACTGTCTTTTACATTCTATTTTAAAAATGAGAAACCATGTTTCTGAAGTCATTATTTTGGCAGCATCAATCTACTCGCCCACTATCTATCATGAGGTTTTATCATGTGTTGGCCCACATCTACTTAGATGTTCAATCCAGATAAACTTCTATTCACTTATTTTTATTTAAGATTCCCGCTCGTTATTTTTCTCATATTCACACCGCATGTGTTTCATTGGCACAGCCATTACAATTACCGCTACCCGGTATGTCATTCCTTCTAACGATCATTTTTCCTTGTGCCACTGCCATTGTATTGGTTTTATTTTTTTCAAGTATTGCAGGATGATGTATACCACAAAAGTATTGGCTAACCAAGCGCTAATGAAGAAAGCGTCTCTTGCATAAATTAACTGTCGATAAGCTAGATTAATTATGTTCGAGTCTGGACCGTTATTTGTTCATGTATTTTTTATATTTACATCTTTAGAAAAGCATTGATTTACAAACTGATTTACGCGCATTTCTGTTTAGTCTTTTGATTAAAAAAAAGATTTGGTCATGGAATCAAGTTTTAGGTGCCAATACAGTTTCTTGTTGAAAAAGTCAATTTATATGTCCCCAGTTGGAAAGCGACGTGTAGGTACCAAGTGTCGACGTCTCTGCATGATTTCAATATGGCTATATTTTTTTTATCTGATGAAATCTATCAATAAATGAATGTCGAGACTGTCGGCTGAAATACAGGAGACGCTGCTGAACCATACTTGTTGCAAGTGTTCAAACCATCAAATGTTTTTTTTTTGCCGATTTAATATTCTAGGTTATGAGTGTCAGTCGATTTTCGACGACGTAAATGTATATCAATTCATTTTAATGTGCAATATTATACTTTCTCATTTGGTTGCGTAAAAATAACTAGTCTGTTGTTGTAGTTTCGCTTATTCTTCGCTGGGTTTCGGGCCGACACGAGTTCTAATTTTAAAATATGTTATTCAACGTTAATATTGCACGAATCGCTAAAATCCGCCAGATGGCATTAGAACCAAAGATGTCAGATTTATTAAGTTTCTCCATTCACACGAATTAACTCTACTGCAAAGACGCCTTCCTATTTCCTATATCATTTAGACCAATATTAACATGAAGGTTGGCTTGACGATTTATCTTTTGCTCGTTAATTTTCTTAATTGTTGGCGTTTTCATTTCTGTTTGCAGCGTGTTGCTTTGTTAGTTGTCGGTCAACCATAAGTCTTGATCATTCCTCGAGTATCACTGTCCGTTTTATACTTTTTATATTGATTAGAGTTGGCACGATGATTACTGTCCATCCCGTGTCAATACTAAAAGCCAAACATCTGCATTCGAGTACATTCATTCTTGTTAACAGTTTCATTTCTAACCAAACGAAGAAATAACTATATTGTACAAAAGATTTATGGCCTCAATAGATTGAGGTTGCACCAAACCAATCCCTACCAAACAATGGAATAAACGAGCGATAAACTAAGTGTTGTGATCAATTCTGTTTGTAAATCCTTCACCGTCTCAGTGGATGGACGTGATGTGTGAACATTCCTGCAATTTTCCATTTTTCCGAGAAGTTAACAACTCTGGAATACAAGATGTCAATTGAATAAAAAATGTTCTCAATCTTTCATCGGCAAGCAATTAGATCAATTATCAAAATATTTGAACCGCATTTCAGTTGATTAAGAGCTTAGGTTATTATTCGGAATAATTTGAATAATCCTGGATTATACACGCTAAAATAAATCTCGACAAACTTTCATTCATGGACGCTCATGTAAATTACCAAGATACTTATTAAATTCGTTCATTTGGGGGCTATTATTTCACTGAGTATATTCGTATTTACCGGAGAGGTTGTATGATCCCCCACCAGTTCGAGGTCACCATTGTTACATTGTAATAAATTATTCCTTCAGTTACCTGGCATATTTCATATTCGTCTAACATTTGCCTGATGCAATAAATACAACAAATTATTACGCATTTATTATTGCATTTCAAAAATTATTACAAAACCAGTGAGCGATCGCAGAAAATTCGACGCAGGTAAATCTCAACTATTGAGAAGCCAAGCTTCGTTCTGTGTTCATATCGTAATTGTGTAAAGTTAACATCGCTTAATATTTAAAAGCACGCTATGTAACCTTCTCATCGAGTGTGAATAATTCGTTGAATTGGCCGGACATCAGTTACAAAGAAGATTTCGTGTTAAATTTTGTCTCGTCACACTTTTGTCTCGTTACGTTGAGCTATCAACAATAACCTTTGCACAAACCCTTGTACGCTTTAGCCAAAGAGACTAATGAATATCTTCGATCTTCGTTGGCCACTGTGATTATAATTAAATTTATCCATTAGAATTTTGAACGAATATTGACAATTGAATAACGAATAACTTAAACCCCACGACGGAAATAAGTTATGGAGGCTCGACAACAACCTTAAGCTGCTAATGAAGTATGAAATAAAAATCTAGAGCAATTTGACCACACAAAGCACCAGTTAGCAAAAAAAAAACAACTAGAAGAGGCGAACCCTGCTCAGCTTGGCGTTGATCTCGTCGATGACGGAATCGACCCTCTCGCTGATCCCCTTGAACATGGACGGCTCTGGCCCGATCATTTTGATGAGGGAAGGCACTTCGTTGGACGCGTAGCAAAATCTGAACAATACCGTGCGTTAGTGGTAAAAAAAATTAAATTGTATACTGCACGGGAAACACTAAATGCTCACGTTAACCACTAACTCCGTTGAGGTGACTTTAGAGAATATAAAGAAACTCAACTGTTAATATCAAATTTTCATGGCTAATATGATTGTTATCATTTTGAGTATTAAAGCCAACTGCTTTCGGTCGAATACTACATTGCTTCAGTAAAATATTGGAAGATATTAAGTTACTTCAAAACAAAATACGATTTCAATGGCGAACAATTTGCCACGATGTTATCGAACATAAATATTCAATTTCCCTACATTGCTTATGAAGGGAGGAGAACATAGCAGAACAACGAAAATCAGTCATGCAGATTACCATGTTCTATCCGTGCATGGCTACTACAGCACTAGACAACAATGCGTTGGTTCGATTCACGGCAAGTGAGAATATTTTTAAAGCGCATCGCCAGCACGGTCGTGGACCAATGCTTCGATAACTCTTCAGAAAATGAATTCACCTGCAGAGAGCAGTGATGGTGCGCCAAAGAAGCTCCTCCTTAGGCTTCGTGTTGAAGAACTGCAGGATGGCCATAGCCAGTTCAGGAGCTACGTCATCGAACACGACCGTCTTGACCTCCTTCGTGCCGAGGTTGTACATGAGGGCAGTGCCGTAGTTCTGTACCTGCAAGTCAGGCCCACATCTCAGAAAGCTACAAGCGTAGGTTCCATAGCACAACTCACCATCATAAATGGTATGGCAAGGGCCAGCGTTCATAAGATAATGTTTATATACATTAATTACACAAGAAGTTCAACTGCGAAAAGAAAAACTAAAAAATTTTAGCATTTAGGTATAGTACCTATATGTGAGAACCCGCAATAAACTATCTAGTCAATAATCGACGTCGCTGTTCGCACCTGAAGATATACTCTCTTGAGGAGGCCATAATGGAATTAAACTTTAAATAATCGATTTTTGAAATCAAAATAAATTCTTTACACATTGCAAAACGGTTTGAATGAAAAAATCCTATGCTTATTGTAGGAGCTAAGTTGTTTCTGTGAAGCTTGCGCTGAGCACGAAAGCAACCAACCGCACCGGCTTGAACCATCGCTGTTCGTCCGATATGTTGTTTGTGGACTACCGAGTCTAGAGGTTCCAGCAAGAAATGTCCTCAGCTAAGCCATACATAAAATCGAGGGAATTATCTAAAAAAGTTTTTTTGTTTGTTTGTTTAACAGTAACTGGTACGATGTAGGAAGAGTCTCAGAAGATTGACTTGAAAAGTTTATTAGCGTTACGAAAAAAATAAAAATGCACCAACATAGTTCAGAGCTATGTCAAGTTTGGTAAGAAGTCACAACATGCTGGCAAGCCAACATGGTGGTATGAGGTCCCAATATCAGCCAAACCAGTGGTTCCCAAACTTTTATAGGCTGGCGACCCCTTGGCGCCCCCACAGACACATTTGGAAACGAAGACCTCTTTCTTGCAATTTAGTATGCTGCAATTTGAACTGCACCGCCCCCCAGATCTTTCCACCGCCCCCAGGAGGGTGGTACCGCCCACTTTGGGAACCACTGACTGCTAAACCAACATGCTGCTAGTAAGATGTGCTCTGAGTAGCCGAGTTCAAAGAGCTCAATTCTCACCCGCTCGCTAGGATGCAAAAGTGCGTTGACGGCCACTTTGGTGGTGACGCGAATGTTGCTGATCGGCATCGAACTTTCCTGGGTCCACTCGCTGATATAGAGTAGCCACTCGGACGGGCTCAAGTGTTCGAACATGTTGCAGAACTGGTAACATAGAAACATTGTTTGAGGAATGACAATCCTATAGCAATATTATAATCCTTATTCTTTTAGACAAGAAATCATGATAAACATAACAATGCTCAAATCTCTTAATTACTCCGCATTGATCCACGGCAGTACGAACAGTGGAATTATAGTAATTCCCAATCAATTAACATTCGGTAGAGGGCGGTGGTGACATGCAGTATTACTGGAGAAACTCATTCCCGATATGCGAGGAATGTGCTAATCATATCAAAATCTCAAATCTTGTTTCGTGAATCACAAAAAGGATATTAAAATAATAACAACTACATTATACTATGATGTTCTGCTTTTTTAAGAAAACAAGCTGATAGAAATACATAACTGAAGAAAAATGAAAAGGAGAAGTAATCCTGAAAAAGCAGATACCGATTCTGACCAGGACATCTAGACCGGCGGGATTCATAAGGTCAAACCATCGTTCTATTCTTAATCTAACTCACGAAAAGAGCGATGGCTTCTTGCAGCTCAGGTGAGAGATGCTCGACTTTATTGGCGAAGTTCATGATGGTGTGATCTTTCCTGTCCTGGTGTAGCAGGAGAATCACATCGTCCTTGAGAGCGGCCACGGCAAGAATGCGTGTCAGATGGAGCCGAGCGGTGTCTGGAATGTTAGGGTCGTGGAAAATCCGCGTGAAAAGATCACCGAAATTTTCGCCAAGCGCCCACGCTCCGTCGTCCTCGACGACGTACGCACGCAGTTCCTCCATGTGCTGCTGCTCCTCTGGCGAGAGCTGGTGCATGCAGCACCCAACTAACTCGTCGAAGTCTCGACGAGCCTGTAAATAAAATGATTTAATTTTTTTTCAAAACAGCCAAAGATTTTCAGCCATCAAATGCAATCAATAAAATCTTGGAATATAATTTACGAGTGATTATTGTCATTTATATCAGATTTTACGTGATAAAGTGGAACTTTTTCACACGTATCAACATAGAATGCTGTAATTAATTATTAGAATTTATTAAAAATGTGGAAATAAATAAGTAAAGAGATCAACATTATCACCGATGAAATTAGTAACATGGAATAGGTTTGTAAAGATGAAGGGTGGCAAGCAAGTCGCAGGTTGGAAGGAAGCAAGCAGACGGGAAGGCCAGGCGGCGCCTACCTGAGAAGCTATAGCCGTAAAGGTGAAGGGCGCCTCACGTGAGTGAGAGGGCCCCAAGTAACACAGCAAGGACGGCAGTGATGAGGGAGATGTAGAGCCAGCGTAGCGAGGTACAGGCCTGAAGAGAACCGATGGTTCTTCGCCTTCTTCTTCATCTTCAGGAAAAAGGATGAGGGAATCGGTGGAAGGAGGGCGGTCAGTATCCAGAACTGGAGGTGAGCGAGAACGGGAAAGCACTGGGAGGTCAAGGGAGGAGAGTGATGTCACTGTGGACGGGGCCCGTGGAACCCGGCGCAGTAAAGAGCTCAGCGATTCTAAAGAGCACGCCCGGGACAACTCTGGAGACGGCCTCGCAGGAGACGATGGCTGCGAGCGATGGCGAGAGACTTTTCTTTGGTCCCGAAAACTCGAAAGTTTACTTTTTCTCCAGTCTTTCCCGGAACCGCTGCGTGAAAGTTTCAGTGTACCGCCCGAGTCTCGAGACGTAGATCTTGACCCATCAAGATCAAGAGAATCGTCTGAAGAAACACGAGACAAGCCCCGGAGCATGCGAAAGGCTTTATCATTGTCATCAAAATAATCAGGCTCAGGTGTTATGGTACGGAAACTGATCACCGAGCTATTCGACTCGCTCTTAGCAAGACCAAGGTGGGTAGGTGAGGATCTAGTACTTTGCGCTGCGTCGTCAGGTGTTGGTGAGGTTTCAGGGGAAGACAGAGATTCGTGAGGAGTCGCTGGTCTCTCAATGGGATCCACAACATACAGCATGTAGTAGGACGACCCAAAAGACATAGATGACGATGATGTCGATGAACGACAAAGGCTAGATGCTGATGAATCGCGTGAAGTTTCATAGGACGAGCGATCCGTTGAGCCCGGCGGTGAAACACAACTTCCGTTGGACTGTCGCGCGTAGTACTCCGGCGGATAGATATGAAACTTTGTTTCTATAACAGCCTCAGCTGGGCTTACGCCGTCGTTGGGGTCAAGTTCTACGGCAGCTGCGGGAGGATGCGGCATGGTTCTTTCGGCAGTTGGAGCAACATCAACTTTTTTCGGTGGGCCATTAAACGTTGCGGTTGCATTGGAATTGGCAGTACTGATAACCGAACCCCTAGTATCAACTATAACGTTCTCTTTAGGAACACCTCCGCTGATGACCCCGTTCGGTTGGGTGACATGATCAGGCTGCGTGACTCCCTGCACAGGACCTTGCAGTGTAGGAGCGACCGGGGCAGCTGTTGAAGGAAGAGAACCTACCACAGGGGCGGGGCGAATGAAGTGACCGGCATGTTGGGTTATTAAATCCATGCGGGGAACGCCCGGACGCACTGACGTTGCATTCGGACGACGGTAAGGAGGAGGTTGGCCAATTCCGGCAGATACACCGCTAGGAGGTACAGCAACCGGTCGAAAACCACGAAGAGAGGAAGCACCCAAATTTGGAGACGCTTGACGGAAATTATTTACTGTAGATGGCCTAACTATGGCACTAGTTGGCCGAACTATGAAGGTACGAGGAGCTGTCACGTTCTGCGACTGCAAAGGAGGACGACATGAATTCAACGGTGGATTCGAACTAGTGACAGCCGATCTGGGAATCATTGTGCTATCTACACCACGGAATTTCGCGATATTTCTTGAAGTTGGCGCTTCGCCTCCTAATTCATCAAAATTTATTTCTGGGCCTTCAAAATGAGAGCCAACAGAGACTTGGGTATTTTTTTTGGAAGGCAATTCCGTTTCTTTTATGAGGTTTGTCATTCTGATTCTTTCCTGTGATGGCAAGTTAGATGTAATATCGTTTGAGGGATGAAATTCTTCTTTTTCACGAATCGAAACTGACGGTTTTCCTGTTGGCTTGACACCTTTTCCAGATTCATTTTTTGTATGATGTGCGTGTTCGGATGGAACATCTTGAGGACTACCTGGCTTCGCATTTTTGGCAGGAAAATTTATGGTAGTCTGCTCCTGTTTAACAAGAAGCGGCACCTGCTTTTCACTGTCAATAGGGCAGCTGAAACGCTTTGCTACTTCCGAAGGGGCCGTTCGCTTCAAGAACCTCGCAATGTCTTCGGTCAAATTTCTTCTCAACGGGGCCTGCTCAGCGGGTTGTTTCAATGGAGTCGAAGGCATGGAGGAAGAATGATCTTCATCAACTGAGGAGTTTTTCATGTTGAATTCTGCAAATGAAGTGTCGGGTTCATCAAGAATTGGGATTGCCAGGTCCTTCGGCTTAACCATTCGGGGTGCATCTTCAGCGGATATTTGCGTATTTTGTAACCTCTGAACGCCACAGCTGGGGCTCTTATCGCTGCTAGTGTCAATCGAGTGCTTTGGTTTCAGCTTACTGATGACTTGGGCTTGAGCAGCCCTCGTCTTTGCTGCAACGATGGGAGGGTTTATTTCACGAGTTACTTCTAGCGAATTTGGATTAAATGTTACATCATTCGTTTTTCCTTCAGGTGGTAATTGTGTATTCCGGTTCTCTCGTGGTGTTACAATATTTGACTTCGGTTCATTACGATTGTCGGGGAGTGTTTTCATAAGTTGTGGTTTATTTTTAGCCATTTTTTCGTTGCTGTGTTCAGGTCCTACTTTACTGGGGATAGATTTGATTTTGAAACTCTCATTTTCTGAAAGCCGGTTCGTAAGGCGCTTTGAGTCGTCTAATGAAGCGTTTACATTTTTGATGTCAATTTTTCTATTGCTGTTCGTTGTATTCTGTTCCCTTATTGCTTCTCTTGCACTTCCTGTTTGCTTTCCCAATGTTACACTTGGTTTCCCTGAAGTACCTAGGTAACTCAGATCAATTATTTTTTCTGGCTTATCTGTGATGGATTTCGGAGAACAATCTTCTTTTCCCAGCACTTTCTCACCTTGCTGGTTCTTCTCATTTTTTTTGTTAGTATATTCTGGGGAATTTTCACGTGCCTTAATTTGCGCAACTTTTTTTCCGTTGATATTCAGATCATTGATTTCCAATGGGATTTCTGTGGACAATTTACTTTCAAGAACTTTCTCTTGAGCTCGAAGTTCCTCAAACTCTTTATCAGAGGCCGAAGACGAGCGAGATCTTGAAGCCCTCGACCAACTGTTAGGTGACGAGGAAATGGACAGGGAAGAGCGAGAGTAACGAAGAACAGGAGACGTAGTAGCGGAATGTGAGTCAAGCAGAGGATCAAAGGATTGCAGCAGGATTGGAGATGAAGGAGGGGAAGGAGACGGAGAAGAGTCACAGATTAGTGAGGAAGACACTCTGCAGCGCAAAGGATTAGTGATATCCTCAATACTCACATCAACGTCTTCCTTGAACAGAATTGGGGGCTCTCTCTGGACCTCAGGTTCCTCAGGCTCAGCAGCTGAGGCTGGTGGGGCAGCCGATCTCTCGACAGCCTCGGAAGGAGGAGCGTCTTCCATGTCTGTAAAATGAGTGTGTGGAGGGGAGGGAGAATCAGGATATTGCTCAGAGGATGCGGCAGGCAACTCAGGATCTGTGGTAGAAGGATGGTAAGGCGATGGACGGCGGACAACTATCGGACTGTCGGGAGCTTGCTGGCCCCAAAAGTCATCCACGGGCTCCCAGTCGCCAGACGCGGCGTTCTCGGAGAGACTTAAGCCTTCAACTGAAGCTGTGGTGTCGTCTACAGTCTCAGTAAACGCGTTGTTTTGGCAATGGTCTACGCTACTTTGAGGTGCAGCAGAAGGGGTGTCCCTTGCAATGAAAAATTCGTCTTCTGGGAGTTCGTCTTCTTCTTGGGAATGACGGCTGCCGAGATCGTTAAAGCTGTCACGGGTGTGTAGAGAAAAAGATGTGGACAAGGAAGAATTGCCAGGACTGTCGGAAGGTGGTAATGGAGGTTTGCTCTTTTTATTCTTGTGTATTCTTTCGTTGCTGGCTTCGGAACGCGCTCTCCGTCGTTGCTCTTTTCGCTCTCGTTTCTCGCGACGTCTTTCCTTACGTTCTTTTTTTGATAGCTTATCGTTCAAGGAGTTGCGTCGTTTTTCTAATAACACCGAGTTGTGTCTGGAAAGAAAAACAAAAGTTGAAAATCCGCTGAAGCTAAGATATTACATTCTTTCATGACGCACATCAATGTGCGAGTATATTTCAAGGGGAAGCATAATCCGCGAAATATTTGAAAGGATTTCTCAGACGTAATGGGTCATTACAGCAATCAAATGATGAACATCACCCCTGCCACATCAATCTTACCTAATATATTCGTAATTTAATGCTCAAATTTAACATCCGTCAAAGCTGTCAATCAGTCACCACCCCGGCCAAACCTTTCATTATTTAGTGACTTCATTAATCGAAGAAAATACCAATTGATTACTCTTGATGGAGTATGTCAATACAGCTAGTAAACTGACATCTCTTCGGCCAAATCGCCTTCAAATGCTTTACGTCATTTTTGGTCTCAACTAAAACAAAACCTCATAAGATTAATATGATGAAGCAGGTCACCTCAGACATCAAACAAACATCGCCTTGATCACGTGACCCTCAACAGGCTTGCTCGATGGCGTCGTTAAGTGCCTCGAACTCTGACGGTTCTCACCTGACTTGCTCGATGGCGTCGTTGAGGGCCTCGAACTCTGGTAGTCCTCACCTGACTTGCTCGATGGCGTCGTTAAGGGCATCGAACTCTGGGTCTTCGTAAGAGGTGCGCACCACGCTAATGGCGGGCCCGAGGGCGCTGCTCGACAACGGCCCGAAGCTGATACTGCGAGAACTGGCGTGCTTGAGCTCTAGCTTCTTGAGGGCGTCGTTCAGAGTGATGCCAAGAGGACTGGACGTAACAATTAGAAATAATCAAGCTGATATTCAAGAAAACTTTACATAACAATTAAAAGAAACAAATCTGCTACATAAGTAAATATGAAACTAAAAGCCGATAGAAACGACAATTAGAATGGATCTTATCATCATGAATGTAAACCGTTGTGAAAATATACACAAAAGATTCAATAATGACATTCACGGATTTAATGTAAACTTTTGAGCTAACTCGTCTATTGTATTTATTAACAATTTTCGTGACTTTCAAACATGAACCTAAGGAACTTAATCTTCGAGTAATGGATACAGTCATGAAAATGACTATGTTAACCCTCTACCGCCGTAGATCACTATCCGGCTATATAACTTTCAACTTAAATTATAGGTACGTAAACTATTGAGTGTAGCAGCCTGAGGACGTTTGAACGCATCAGAGAACATTTTAAAGTTGTCGTACGGGGCGGCAACCATCAGTGCAAGTCAGTCGTTTTACTTTCACTAGAACGTTTCTTTTTTGGGAAGTAGGCTTGTGACAATATAGCTCCGGTTACTCGTGTTAGGCGGTAGAGGGTTAAGAGTATCAATTACGCATTGTTGGAAGCTAACTCCCAAGAAATTTAATTAGATACCAGTTTACAGAATTCTAAAAACACTGCACACGAATTAGGCACGAAAATTTAGATGGCTCTACGAAAAACTTCAAACGATAAAATGTTAACAAAATTAGCAAAACATAAACAAACATATAGTACAATTTGAAAGTAGGCGCAGAAAGGTAAATCAAACGAGCAAAGTTCGTAGGATTTAATTCATATTTTGCTATTGAGGTACAGAGGCATGGGAAGATTTCCCAGTAAAGCCTACGTAGTTTTATTCTTTGGGAAGTAAAGACTAATTCGTATTGATAGTGACACGTAAGTTATATCTTATTCTCAGTGAAGCGTTTGCAAAGGCTTACACACGAGTATTCATGAACCTACGTTAGGTTCTGCAATAATTTAATGTTTTGCTTTCTTGCGCAAAAGAGTACCATTCAGTAATAAGATCCGATTAAATCAGAATAACAAAGTAATATTAAGTTACGCGATTTTATGTTGAATGCTTAAATATACGTCACGTAACAATTGAATCCTTTCAGAATTTTAAGTTTAGTTACCAATTCCAACAAATAACGCGAAGTATTCATAACTCCCTAACAATTGATTGTAGTACATATTGGAGTAGCTGATAAGTGATAACCCCGCGTCAATTTCAGACTTGCAACCAGAATTTCTGTGCAGCAGAAACCTAACATAACGTACGACGCAGATATAACACGTCAACGACTTCTCTATAGAAGGAGAGTATATGTTTTCAAATCACGCATTTGGCTGAAAGCCCCCAACAAGGACGCAGTGAGAGCCAGACGTTGCATACTACACATTACACAACTTAGACGATTCTTTAACGGCCTATATCGAAGAGAAGTACTTTAAAAATAACGTATTAGCTTATAATACACATTAATGACGAAGTGGAAGCCTAGCGTTGTGAACGAGGCTGAGATATGGGATCTTGACCGAGCAGCTGCGTGGATGCCAACATGGGCGCGATGGCTTGACCGAAGGGGCTGAAGGAGGCCAGAAGGTTCAGTGTAAGTATACAATGCAGGGCAGTTAGTAAAGAATTACGTTAGAGCTACACAACAAGCAAGCTAAATTTAACGAGAAATTCAATAAACTGACAGCATACGTCTTTGGTTAAGGTTTCCTTCTAGAATAAAAAAATTTCCAATGCATGTGAAAACGGCCAAAATTAGAGTAGTCGTAGATGATATGAAAGGTGTTCACTAATATATTTACCTCATCATTGATATATTAGTTCAACAGCTGCAACGAAAAAGTTGTGGTGATGTCTTCTAACACCTGATAAACCGATAACAATTCTATTTAAGGATCTCTAGACTGAGATCTTCCTTGATTCTTATAGTACAACCAATGCCATTAAGCAAACCACACTAACAAAATTAGATTTGTGGTGCATATTCTAGTGGCTGGATTCTAGAAAGACGTTAGAATATTAGGCAAAACAATAAGCAATGCAACAAACTTCCGTTCACAGGATCTCACAGAGATAAAAATTTCGCATCACAGCACCATTGGTACTGTTAGAATGCACTGGTACTGTTAATACTCACGTATTAAGGACTTCTTCGGGCAGTTGTAAGATGGCTTTAGGTATACCTCGTCCACACAAGAACTGAGCTATATCGTCACTGAAATTATTGCAATTGTGCTTGAGAAGGTCATATGCGCCAGGCCTGTGGGAAGGAAAATGGATACCAAGTTCAAGTAAAAATATGCAACATATATACGTATAATTATGAAACATAGGGGGAGTTAGAGAAAATAAGGTAAACACCCGAGAATTCCACAAAATATATATTAGTACGGGGTAGGTCCAACTTTTGCGTCAATTACAGCCTCAGTTCCCTAAGGTATTGATTCATACAAATTGTGAATTGTTTCCATGGGGATTTTAAACATTCTTCAGTTAAAACTCCCTCCAGCTCTTTTAAAGACGATGGCTGAGGAAATCGACTTCTGACTTGCATCTCTGAAATCGACCATAAATGCTTCATAACATTCAGGTCTGGTGATTTTGGTGGCCAAATTAGATCCTAACTTCATTAGAATGTACCTCGGGCCATTTCTTGCGCATTTTTCTCATCTATAGAAAAAAATGCACTATTGTGCTCGACATGTCCGTCCGTCAGCGACTTATCGTTTTAGTCGACGAGAAAATGCGCTCTCTATCATTAACTGCAGTGAGTACTGAGTTATATTTTTTTTAAATTCCAGCTGTATGGATTGGAGCATTATCTTGATAAATGGCGTTCCCCTCCGGAAACAGTGCTTGAACCATTGGATGAACTTGAAATTCCTAAATAGTCACGGTTGTTAATCTTCCATGAAGAGAAATCATTGGTCCGCCGCATTCCCAAGAAATAGCATCCCAGATTATCAAAAATCCCCGGTCACGTTTTACGGTTGGGAGGAGGCAGTCGGGATTAAATGAGTCATTTGGCTAAATGACTTTGGCATTAAATGACAAATTCTCCAAACGTAAACTCGGCCAAAACTTGGAAATAAAGTAAACGATGATTCTTAAGAGAAAATCACATTTCTTCACTACTGGAGGGACCAATTTTAGAGGTTTTTACACCGCTCTAAAGGCTTTGAAGCATTTGTATTTGACACCAAGAGGTTTTCTAATAGCAGCTCTTCCATAGAATCCATATCTGCGAAGCTCTCGGCGGACAGTCTTTATGGAAACTGGGTTATTTAGGTGTCCACTGAGGTCTGCAGTAATTCTAACAGCCGTGGACTTCCGAATATCCCTCATAATTCGATTTAAGTACCGACGGTCTCTTTCAGACAACTTCGACTTTCGGCCAGACCTGTGCTTTGCTGAGGACGTTTTTCCTTCTCTTTCAAAAGCAATCATTACTTTTGAGGCAGTACCT